TGTGTGTGTCTGTGTGTGTCTGTGTGTCTGTGTGTGTCTGTGTGTGTCTGTCAGTGTGTGTCTGTGTGTGTCTGTGTGTGTCTGTGTGTCTGTGTGTGTCTGTCAGTGTGTGTCTGTGTGTGTCTGTGTGTGTCTGTGTGTCTGTGTGTGTCGTGTGTGTTGTGTTGTCAGTGTGTGTCAGTGTGTGTCTGTGTGTCAGTGTGTGTGCCGTGTGTCTGTGTGTGTCCGTGTGTCTGTGTGTGCGTGTGTGTCTGTGTGTCAGTGTGTGCGTGTGTGTCAGTGTGTGCGTGTGTGTCAGTGTGTGCGTGTGTGTCAGTGTGTGCGTGTGTGTCAGTGTGTGCGTGTGTCTGTGTGTCAGAGTGTCAGTGTGTCAGAGTGTCAGTGTGTGTCTGTGTGTGTCTGTGTGTCTGTGTGTCCGTGTGTCTGTGTGTGTCCGTGTGTCTGTGTGTCAGTGTGTGCGTGTGTGTCAGTGTGTGCGTGTGTGTCAGTGTGTGCGTGTGTCTCAGTGTGTGTGCGTGTGTGTCAGTGTGTCTGTGTGTCTGTGTGTCTGTGTGTCTGTGTGTGTCTGTGTGTGTCAGTGTGTGTCAGTGTGTGTCTGTGTGTCAGTGTGTGGCCGTGTGTCTGTGTGTGTCCGTGTGTCTGTGTGTGCGTGTGTGTCTGTGTGTCAGTGTGTGCGTGTGTGTCAGTGTGTGCGTGTGTGTCAGTGTGTGCGTGTGTGTCAGTGTGTGCGTGTGTGTCAGTGTGTGCGTGTGTCTGTGTGTCAGAGTGTCAGTGTGTCAGAGTGTCAGTGTGTGTCTGTGTGTGTCTGTGTGTCTGTGTCTCAGTGTCTCCGTGTGTGTGCCTGTGTGTCAGTGTGTCAGTGTGTCCCCGTGTGTGTCCGTGTGTGTGTCTCCGTGTGTCTGTGTGTCTGTGTCTCAGTGTGTCCGTGTGTGTCCGTGTGTGTGTCTGTGTGTCGTGTGTCTGTGTGTCAGTGTGTCTGTTCTGTGTCGTGTGTCTGTGTCTGTGTGTGCGTGTGTGTCTGTGTGTCAGTGTGTGCGTGTGTGTCAGTGTGTGCGTGTGTGTCAGTGTGTGTCGTGTGTCTGTCGTGTGTGCGTGTGTGTCAGTGTGTGCGTGTGTCTGTGTGTCAGAGTGTCGTGTGTCAGTGTGTCAGTGTGTGTCTGTGTGTGTCTGTGTGTGTCTGTGTGTCCGTGTGTCTGTGTGTGTGTGTGTCTGTGTGTCAGTGTGTGCGTGTGTGTCAGTGTGTGCGTGTGTGTCAGTGTGTGTGTGTGTCTCAGTGTGTGCGTGTGTGTCTGTGTGTCTGTGTGTCTGTGTGTCTGTGTGTCTGTGTGTGTCTGTGTGTGTCAGTGTGTGTCTGTGTGTGTCTGTGTGTCAGTGTGTGGCGTGTGTCTGTGTGTGTCCGTGTGTCTGTGTGTGCGTGTGTGTCTGTGTGTCAGTGTGTGCGTGTGTGTCAGTGTGTGCGTGTGTGTCAGTGTGTGCGTGTGTGTCAGTGTGTGCGTGTGTGTCAGTGTGTGCGTGTGTCTGTGTGTCAGAGTGTCAGTGTGTCAGAGTGTCAGTGTGTGTCTGTGTGTGTCTGTGTGTCTGTGTCTCAGTGTCTCCGTGTGTGTGCCTGTGTGTCAGTGTGTCAGTGTGTCCCCGTGTGTGTCCGTGTGTGTGTCTCCGTGTGTCTGTGTGTCTGTGTCTCAGTGTGTCCGTGTGTGTCCGTGTGTGTGTCTGTGTGTCCGTGTGTCTGTGTGTCAGTGTGTCTGTATCTCAGTGTGTCAGTGTGTCTGTATCTCAGTGTGTCCGTATGTCTGTGTCTCAGTGTATCCGTATGTCTTTGTCTTTGTGTGTCCGTATGTCTGTGTCTTTGTGTGTCCGTATGTCTGTGTCTTTGTGTGTCCGTATGTCTGTGTCTCAGTGTGTCCGTATGTCTGTGTCTTTGTGTGTCCGTATGTCTGTGTCTTAGTGTGTCCGTGTGTCTGTGTCTTTGTGTGTCTGTGTCTCAGTGTGTCCGTGTGTCTGTGTCTTTGTGTGTCTGTGTGTGTCTGTGTGTCTGTGTGTCTGTGTGTCTGTGTGTGTCTGTGTCTGTGTGTGTCTGTGTGTCTGTGTGTCTGTGTGTGTCTGTGTGTGTCTGTGTGTGTCTGTGTGTGTCTGTGTGTGTCAGTGTGTGTCAGTGTGTGTCAGTGTGTGTCTGTGTGTGTCTGTGTGTGTCTGTGTGTGTCAGTGTGTGTCAGTGTGTGCCTGTGTGTCAGTGTGTCAGTGTGTCCCCGTGTGTGTCCGTGTGTGTCCGTGTGTGTGTCTCCGTGTGTCTGTGTGTCTGTGTCTGTGTGTCCGTGTGTCTGTGTGTCAGTGTGTCTGTATTTCAGTGTGTCCGTATGTCTTTGTCTTTGTGTGTCCGTATGTCTGTGTCTTTGTGTGTCCGTATGTCTGTGTCTTTGTGTGTCCGTATGTCTGTGTCTCAGTGTGTCCGTATGTCTGTGTCTTTGTGTGTCCGTATGTCTGTGTCTTTGTGTGTCCGTATGTCTGTGTCTTTGTGTGTCCGTATGTCTGTGTCTCAGTGTGTCCGTATGTCTGTGTCTTTGTGTGTCCGTGTGTCTGTGTCTTTGTGTGTCTGTGTCTCAGTGTGTCCGTGTGTCTGTGTCTTTGTGTGTCTTAGTGTGTCTGTGTGTCTTAGTGTGTCTGTGTCTTTGTGTGTCTGTGTGTCTTTGTGTGTCTGTGTGTGTCTGTGTGTGTCTGTGTGTCTGTGTGTCTGTGTGTCTGTGTGTGTCTGTGTGTCTGTGTGTGTCTGTGTCTGTGTGTGTCTGTGTGTCTGTGTGTCTGTGTGTCTGTGTGTCTGTGTGTGTCTGTGTGTGTCTGTGTGTGTCTGTGTGTGTCTGTGTGTGTCTGTGTGTGTCTGTGTGTGTCAGTGTGTGTCAGTGTGTGTCAGTGTGTGTCTGTGTGTGTCTGTGTGTGTCTGTGTGTGTCAGTGTGTGTCAGTGTGTGCCTGTGTGTCAGTGTGTCAGTGTGTCCCCGTGTGTGTCCGTGTGTGTCCGTGTGTGTGTCTCCGTGTGTCTGTGTGTCTGTGTCTGTGTGTCCGTGTGTCTGTGTGTCAGTGTGTCTGTATCTCAGTGTGTCAGTGTGTCTGTATCTCAGTGTGTCCGTATGTCTGTGTCTCAGTGTATCCGTATGTCTTTGTCTTTGTGTGTCCGTATGTCTGTGTCTTTGTGTGTCCGTATGTCTGTGTCTTTGTGTGTCCGTATGTCTGTGTCTCAGTGTGTCCGTATGTCTGTGTCTTTGTGTGTCCGTATGTCTGTGTCTTTGTGTGTCCGTATGTCTGTGTCTTTGTGTGTCCGTATGTCTGTGTCTCAGTGTGTCCGTATGTCTGTGTCTTTGTGTGTCCGTGTGTCTGTGTCTTTGTGTGTCTGTGTCTCAGTGTGTCCGTGTGTCTGTGTCTTTGTGTGTCTTAGTGTGTCTGTGTGTCTTAGTGTGTCTGTGTCTTTGTGTGTCTGTGTGTCTTTGTGTGTCTGTGTGTGTCTGTGTGTCTGTGTGTCTGTGTGTGTCTGTGTGTCTGTGTGTGTCTGTGTCTGTGTGTGTCTGTGTGTCTGTGTGTCTGTGTGTCTGTGTGTCTGTGTGTGTCTGTGTGTGTCTGTGTGTGTCTGTGTGTGTCTGTGTGTGTCTGTGTGTGTCAGTGTGTGTCAGTGTGTGCCTGTGTGTCAGTGTGTCAGTGTGTCCCCGTGTGTGTCCGTGTGTGTGTCTCCGTGTGTCTGTGTGTCTGTGTCTGTGTGTGTCTGTGTGTCTGTGTGTCTGTGTGTCTGTGTGTGTCTGTGTGTGTCTGTGTGTGTCTGTGTGTGTCGGTGTGTGTCTGTGTGTGTCAGTGTGTGTCAGTGTGTGTCAGTGTGTGTCTGTGTGTGTCTGTGTGTGTCTGTGTGTGTCAGTGTGTGTCAGTGTGTGCCTGTGTGTCAGTGTGTCAGTGTGTCCCCGTGTGTGTCCGTGTGTGTCCGTGTGTGTGTCTCCGTGTGTCTGTGTGTCTGTGTCTGTGTGTCCGTGTGTCTGTGTGTCAGTGTGTCTGTATCTCAGTGTGTCAGTGTGTCTGTATCTCAGTGTGTCCGTATGTCTGTGTCTCAGTGTATCCGTATGTCTTTGTCTTTGTGTGTCCGTATGTCTGTGTCTTTGTGTGTCCGTATGTCTGTGTCTTTGTGTGTCCGTATGTCTGTGTCTCAGTGTGTCCGTATGTCTGTGTCTTTGTGTGTCCGTATGTCTGTGTCTTTGTGTGTCAGTATGTCTGTGTCTTTGTGTGTCCGTATGTCTGTGTCTCAGTGTGTCCGTATGTCTGTGTCTTTGTGTGTCCGTGTGTCTGTGTCTTTGTGTGTCTGTGTCTCAGTGTGTCCGTGTGTCTGTGTCTTTGTGTGTCTTAGTGTGTCTGTGTGTCTTAGTGTGTCTGTGTCTTAGTGTGTCTGTGTCTTTGTGTGTCTGTGTGTGTCTGTGTGTCTGTGTGTCTGTGTGTGTCTGTGTGTCTGTGTGTGTCTGTGTCTGTGTGTGTCTGTGTGTCTGTGTGTCTGTGTGTCTGTGTGTCTGTGTGTCTGTGTGTGTCTGTGTGTGTCTGCGTGTGTCTGTGTGTGTCTGTGTGTGTCAGTGTGTGTCAGTGTGTGTCTGTGTGTGTCTGTGTGTGTCTGTGTGTGTCAGTGTGTGTCAGTGTGTGTCTGTGTGTGTCTGTGTGTGTCTGTGTGTCCAGGCCGGCTGTATAGATCTGCTCTAATCCAATCAGGTCCTGGTAAAGACCGGGCTGCAGCTCTGATGTGATTACGAGGCCTGTGTCTGTAAACAAGGACCCTCCTGTGTCCCGCCCGCTCTCATTTCCTGCATAACCTGGTTTCACCGACATCCTCCTGCTTCTGGGTCTGTGATGTGACTTTGACAGATGCTCCAAATAACCACTGACCGGGGTTAAGAGACTGTACAAACATCACAACAGCAGACGGTACAACAGGGATGTACTGGAGATCACAAACTGCATTTCCACGCTGCCCTGGCTTAAACTGAGTATGGAGGAGGACGGAGGTAAACCAAAGGGCAAAACAACAAACAAACTATCCACCAATCATTCGAGGCGAGGTGAAAGAAGACCGCAAAATCAAGAAGAGGATGTAAGAATGTCTATGTATCGAACCTAAAAGCAGCCAAAGTCGCAATATTGCGACAAGTAACACTGCTCACTTAAACAGGCTGTATGTAAGAATGTGGAGCAGAATCTGTTTCTAAATGATAAATCCTGGAGCCTCATTTCCACTGAGAAAAATAGAAAGCCCACCACTTCTCTGAAAGGGAAATATTGAAACCAATCTCAGATTTCATGACTGTAAACTATAAAGAGTTCTGTCTTGATCACTGAACCAGTGCTAAAACATTATCTATAATCTGGATCAGGGAATTTATTTCTATCCCAAATTCAAGCCGCAGCGGTCGGCGCCGGTCGGGCTCAGAGGTAACGGGTCGGCACCGGTCGGGCTCAGAGGTAACGGGTCGGCGCCGGTCGGGCTCAGAGGTTACGGGTCGGCGCCGGTCGGGCTCAGAGGTTACGGGTCGGCGCCGGTCGGGCTCAGAGGTAACGGGTTGGCGCCGGTCGGGCTCAGAGGTTACGGGTCGGCGCCGGTCGGGCTCAGAGGTTACGGGTCGGCGCCGGTCGGGCTCAGAGGTAACGGGTTGGCGCCGGTCGGGCTCAGAGGTAACAGGTCGGCGCCAGTCGGGCTCAGAGGTAACGGGTCGGCGCCGGTCGGGCACAGAGGTAACGGGTCGGCGCCGGTCGGGCTCAGAGGTAACAGGTCGGCGCCAGTCGGGCTCAGAGGTAACGGGTCGGCGCCGGTCGGGCACAGAGGTAACGGGTCGGCGCCGGTCGGGCACAGAGGTAACGGAGATGCAGCGATTAGACAAATACTGTTAATTGGTTTCTGAGGGCCGCAGTCTAGACTGAGTGATACTGAAGCAGGGACCAGACCCGCTGAAAAGACTCGGTTCGTTCTAGACCAAGTTCTTCAGTCTCCGAGAGAGAGTCTGGTCCAGAGGGTTCAGGGAGAGAAGGACCGGACCAAAATGATAAAGATGTTGATCAGGGCCAAACTAAACTAAACTGAGTTAAATTGATTAATAGTATCTGGAGATGTCTGCTGTGCCTTTGACATGATCCAAAATTACATAAACGGTAAAAAAATTAAATAAAATATTGAAAAAAAAAGTATTTAAGAAGTCTATAAATGTATGTTTTTAATGGTGCATGTTTGTTTATTTAACACTGAATGAGACTGACTTTGCTTTGTTCGTTAAGGTCGGGAAGTTTCATTGTTGCAACATTTTCAGCTGATGGAAAAGTTGTGTTACCGCAGACAGAACCATCAGACAGAACCATCAGGCAGGACCATCAGGCAGGACCATCAGGCAGACAGGACCATCAGGCAGGACCATCAGGCAGACAGGACCATCAGGCAGGACCATCAGGCAGGACCATCAGGCAGACAGGACCATCAGGCAGGACCATCAGGCAGGACCATCAGGCAGACAGGACCATCAGGCAGGACCATCAGGCAGACAGGACCATCAGGCAGACAGGACCATCAGGCAGACAGGACCATCAGGCAGGCAGGACCATCAGGCAGCCAGGACCATAAGGCAAGACCATCAGGCAGTCAGGACCATCAGGCAGTCAGGACCATCAGGCAGCCAGGACCATCAGGCAGCAGGACCATCAGACAGTCAGGACCATCAGGCAGCAGGACCATCAGGCAGCAGGACCATCAGGCAGCTAGGACCATCAGACAGTCAGGACCATCAGGCAGCAGGACCATCAGAGGTCAACAAGATGGCGGCTCAAGTCAATGGCCTTTGCTCATGGTCGGCACTAGATCATAAACTACTCTCAGAGCATACTCTGTATGCTCTATATGTATGTATTGGTCTTGCTTTTAATGTGAAGCGCTTTGTGACCCTGGTCTGAGAAAGGCGCTATATAAATACATTTTACTTACTTACTTACTAAACGGAATCGGGACGAAACCAGGTAACAATCCTACTTTCGAATTAGTTTTAGACTACTAAGTCCTTAAGTGGTGACTGGTTAAGTTTTAGGCGTCTGAGTAAGATGGTTAAGGTTAGGGTTAAGGTGGTCTGAGTAAGATGGTTAAGGTTAGGGTTAAGGTGGTCTGAGTAAGATGGTCAAGGTTAGGGTTAAGGTGGTCTGAGTAAGATTGTTAAGGTTAGGGTTAAGGTGGTCTGAGTAAGATGGTTAAGGTTAGGGTTAAGGTGGTCTGAGTAAGATGGTTAAGGTTAGGGTTAAGGTGGTCTGAGTAAGATGGTTAAGGTTAGGGTTAAGGTGGGTCTGAGTAAGATGGTTAAGGTTAGGGTTAAGGTGGGTCTGAGTAAGATGGTTAAGGTTAGGGTTAAGGTGGTCTGAGTAAGATGGTTAAGGTTAGGGTTAAGGTGGTCTGAGTAAGATGGTTAAGGTTAGGGTTAAGGTGGTCTGAGTAAGATGGTTAAGGTTAGGGTTAAGGTGGGTCTGAGTAAGATGGTTAAGGTTAGGGTTAAGGTGGGTTGGGGTTATTTTATGGGAATGGCTGGTTAAGTTTAGGCTTGAATAGGTAGTTTGTTATATTTACTTCCGCTTCCGTCCGTATATGATCTAGTGCTGACCCTGTGCTCATTGGTGCATGCTCAAAGCAAAGAGGACGGACTGCCAGAAGTAATTAGAAGAAGACTATCGCAGGAGGAGTGTTCTTTTGATATGATGTGATCTCCCATCGTTCACATTCATGACTCTTGACTCTCAAATCGCTTTGAGGAGTTTAAATCTAAAATGATTCCCTCTCAGGAGATGGAGAAGTGTAAGAGCCACTGCTTATTTGAGGCGTGAATCTGTTTCTGGTGCCTCCTGGACGCCTCTCTGATGTCTCTGCTGTGGCCTCAGAACAGACTGAGATGTTTCAGATCTTCCTGGATGTGCTGCAGAGAGTGTGTGTGGAGAGGGAGGTCTGGGCTGCTCTGTCTGTCGTTTCAGCACCAGATTTGTAAGAGCAGCTCATGCCAGGATCATCTAACGCAGAAGGATTGGAATTTGAGAGTCTTAGCAGCAGCTTAATGTTACCTTATTGTCCCCATGTCCTTCGTCTGCTTTTGGCCACCTCCTCCTTCTATGATATTTAATCTGTGTATTTACTCTGTCCTCGCACAGAAATGCTTCAGCTAACAGCTAACAGCGCCACAGAGCACAGTGTCGCCCGCTCTTAAACTGGTGTTGACTTTGAGATGGGAGTCTTTATCTGTGTCTTTGCTCTGAAGTCGCACAGAGAGAAAAAATATCTACTTTCTGTTCAAATTCCCCAGAGCCAGAAGAGAGACACGGGTTCGTTTCACTGCAGCAGGGACTGTGGTGATAACATGTGCACGTGTTGGAGACGCTGTGGTCATGGGGTTGTAGGAATGATGCATTATGGGAATCAAACGGCAGGGAATAAGTCATTTTGGTGAATTAACTTCCTACCGCACCAATCCCGATGAGCCGTTCTGTAAACAGCAGCAGCAGTTGTCTGAATGTAGCAGTAGAAACATTACCAGAAAAGTGGCAATAGAAATAGTCGTAGAAGCAGAAATGGTCAAAACTTTCGATCTCTAGATGTGCGCGTAGATACTGAAAGATCTGCTGTTGTGATTGCCACGAAAGGAGGTAAGACTAGGAGCAGAGGGAGAGGAGGGAGAGGAGGGAGCAGAGAGAGAGGAGGGAGCAGAGAGAGAGGAGGGAGAGGAGGGAGAGGAGGGAGCAGAGAGAGAGGAGGGAGCAGAGAGAGAGGAGGGAGAGGAGGGAGAGGAGGGAGAGGAGGGAGCAGAGAGAGAGGAGGGAGAGGAGGGAGAGGAGGGAGAGGAGGGAGCAGAGAGAGAGGAGGGAGAGGAGGGAGAGGAGGGAGCAGAGAGAGAGGAGGGAGAGGAGGGAGCAGAGGGAGAGGAGGGAGAGGAGGGAGCAGAGGGAGAGGAGGGAGAGGAGGGAGAGGAGGGAGAGGAGGGAGCAGAGAGAGAGGAGGGAGAGGAGGGAGCAGAGGGAGAGGAGGGAGAGGAGGGAGCAGAGGGAGAGGAGGGAGAGGAGGGAGAGGAGGGAGCAGAGGGAGAGGAGGGAGAGGAGGGAGAGGAGGGAGCAGAGAGAGAGGAGGGAGCAGAGAGAGAGGAGGGAGCAGAGAGAGAGGAGGGAGAGGAGGGAGAGGAGGGAGCAGAGAGAGAGGAGGGAGCAGAGGGAGAGGAGGGAGAGGAGGGAGCAGAGAGAGAGGAGGGAGCAGAAAGAGAGGAGGGAGAGGAGGGAGAGGAGGGAGCAGAGAGAGAGGAGGGAGCAGAGAGAGAGGAGGGAGAGGAGGGAGAGGAGGGAGCAGAGAGAGAGGAGGGAGAGGAGGGAGCAGAGGGAGAGGAGGGAGCAGAGAGAGAGGAGGGAGAGGAGGGAGAGGAGGGAGCAGAGAGAGAGGAGGGGAGCAGAGGGAGAGGAGGGAGAGGAGGGGGCAGAGAGAGGGGGAGCAGAGAGAGAGGAGGGAGCAGAGAGAGAGGAGGGAGAGGAGGGAGAGGAGGGAGAGGAGGGAGAGGAGGGAGCAGAGGGAGAGGAGAGAGAGCAGAGGGAGAGGAGGGAGCAGAGGGAGAGGAGGGAGCAGAGGGAGAGGAGGGAGCAGAGGGAGAGGAGGGAGAGGAGGGAGAGGAGGGAGGAGGGAGAGAGGGAGCAGAGGGAGAGGAGGGAGCAGAGGGAGAGGAGGGAGAGGAGGGAGCAGAGGGAGAGGAGGGAGCAGAGGGAGAGGAGGGAGCAGAGAGAGAGGAGGGAGAGGAGGGAGAGGAGGGAGCAGAGGGAGAGGAGGGAGCAGAGGGAGAGGAGGGAGAGGAGGGAGAGGAGGGAGCAGAGGGAGAGGAGGGAGAGGAGGGAGCAGAGGGAGAGGAGGGAGCAGAGGGAGAGGAGGGAGCAGAGGGAGAGGAGGGAGAGGAGGGAGCAGAGGGAGAGGAGGGAGCAGAGGGAGAGGAGGGAGAGGAGGGAGAGGGAGGGAGCAGAGGGAGAGGAGGGAGCAGAGAGAGAGGAGGGAGAGGAGGGAGAGGAGGGAGCAGAGGGAGAGGAGGGAGAGGAGGGAGCAGAGGGAGAGGAGGGAGCAGAGGGAGAGGAGGGAGCAGAGAGAGAGGAGGGAGAGGAGGGAGAGGAGGGAGCAGAGGGAGAGGAGGGAGCAGAGGGAGAGGAGGGAGCAGAGAGAGAGGAGGGAGCAGAGGGAGAGGAGGGAGCAGAGGGAGAGGAGGGAGCAGAGGGAGAGGAGGGAGAGGAGGGAGCAGAGAGAGAGGAGGGAGCAGAGGGAGAGGAGGGAGCAGAGGGAGAGGAGGGAGCAGAGGGAGAGGAGGGAGCAGAGGAGAGGAGAGGAGGAGGGGAGGGGGAGCAGAGGGAGCAGAGAGAGCAGAGGGAGAGGAGGGAGCAGAAGGAGCAGAGAGAGCAGAGGGAGAGGAGGGAGCAGAAGGAGCAGAGAGAGCAGAGGGAGAGGAGGGAGCAGAAGGAGCAGAGAGAGCAGAGGGAGAGGAGGGAGCAGAAGGAGCAGAGAGAGCAGAGGGACTGAGGGAAACTAATGAAGTCAAAGCTTTAAAAATAAAATAAAAGACACAGAATAGTGTAAAGGAGCCTAATATTGAAGGGAGTGGACAGAGAAAGGTGTTCGATCGTGACATTTGGGAAGCGGCCCTGCCTCCTCTGAGAACACTGGGTCATGTCATCAGCACTACACAGAACCATCAAACCTCACACTTCAGTTATGTAAGTTATGTGTTCAGAACCCAAACATGTGCTGCAAGGGATGGGTTCAGAACCGCAGGAGGTCAGAGGTCAGAGGTCAGAGGTCCAGGACTCTCCACATTCAAACACATTTAAGGACTTAAATGTGTTTGAATGTGGCACGGTGGCTGAGTGGTTAGCACTCTCGCTGCTCAGCAAGAAGGTCCTGGGTTCGAATCCCGGTCGGAACAGGGCCTTTCTGAGTGGAGATTCCAATTTTAATTTATTTTATGTATTTGTTTATTTGACAGATAGCAGAAGAGAGATCCAAACACATTGGACCATCAAAGCCATCTCTGCTCTCTCTTTACTCGCTCTCTCTTTGCTCTCTTTTTTGTCTCTCTCTGGACTCTCTCTGGACTCTCTCGGGACTCTCTCGGGACTCTCTCTGGTCTCTCTCTCTGGTCTCTCTCTCTGGTCTCTCTCTCTGGTCTCTCTCCCCTTTTTGTCCCTTATCAACCACTGTATTCCAAGATGGCGGATTCACAGAGAAAGTCGTCCGCCTCATGGACATTTATAAGTTAAATTCTAAGTCTATGACAACAATTCAAAAACATGGTGGAGGTAAATATTCTAAAAAACGTTAGATTTGGTTTTGGTTAATATGTTCTTTTCATTTGGAGCTACTGTAAAAATTACATAGAGGACCTTTAAAACGGGTGAAAATAACTTGAATTACAGAAAAAAACGACATAGAAACACACTATATAAAGAAACACAAAAAGTCAAAATCATAAAGATTAAAAATGTACATGAGCTGAGGAATTACACTTTTAAATGAGTTAGCCAAAAAAGTCTTGTACCCCACATTTACGAGGACATATAGCCTAGCATAACATCACCTTTGTCCTATAGCTAGCATAGCAACCCGCTGGGACCGCACCCTGAGACAATGAGCGCCAAGAGAAATGTGTGAAAGTGACAAAGGATCAGAGTCACAGAGAAACAAACTAAACTGCTGTCACCGGGAGATTCCTGTGGTCGTAGTTAGGCATGTAAATCGGTGACGAGCGGGTCTGTCTCTAGCTGTGCCAATGTATCAGTAAACTCCGGGCCGACTCTCACGCCGCACGCGCCACATATGCACGCACACACACACGCACACACACACACGCACACACACACACACACACACACACACACACACACACACACACACACAAGCACACACTTTCCCCCCCTCCATTGATACGTAACATCCACACACATCCTCTCTCCTCTGTTACCACCTGCTAGTTGCACACTGGTGCAGGTCAGAACTACATTGGAGCTTATATTTACACACACACACACACACACACACATACACACACACACACACACACACACAAACACACACACACACACACACATACCGGTCTGTCGCGCTCCTCTGTGTCAGGCAGCCCAAAGAATCCTATGCGGCTTCAGTCAAACCATATGGAACAAGTCTGTGCTGATGGTCCTTGGCATCAGCTCCACACACATCACTTTTAAACTTAAGCGGAGACCATGTGGACGTCACTCTCTGCTCTGACCATGTGGACGTCACTCACTGCTCTGACCATGTGGACGTCACTCTCTGCTCTGACCATGTGGACGTCACTCACTGCTCTGACCATGTGGACGTCACTCACTGCTCTGACCATGTGGACGTCACTCACTGCTCTGACCATGTGGACGTCACTCACTGCTCTGACCATGTGGACGTCACTCTCTGCTCTGACCATGTGGACGTCACTCACTGCTCTGACCATGTGGACGTCACTCTCTGCTCTGACCATGTGGACGTCACTCACTGCTCTGACCATGTGGACGTCACTCACTGCTCTGACCATGTGGACGTCACTCACTGCTCTGACCATGTGGACGTCACTCGCTGCTCTGACCATGTGGACGTCACTCGCTGCTCTGACCATGTGGACGTCACTCTCTGCTCTGACCATGTGGACGTCACTCACTGCTCTGACCATGTGGACGTCACTCGCTGCTCTGACCATGTGGACGTCACTCGCTGCTCTGACCATTGTGGACGTCACTCTCTGCTCTGACCATGTGGACGTCACTCACTGCTCTGACCATGTGGACGTCACTCACTGCTCTGACCATGTGGACGTCACTCGCTGCTCTGACCATGTGGACGTCACTCGCTGCTCTGACCATGTGGACGTCACTCGCTGCTCTGACCATGTGGACGTCACTCTCTGCTCTGACCATGTGGACGTCACTCTCTGCTCTGACCATGTGGACGTCACTCTCTGCTCTGACCATGTGGACGTCACTCCTGCTCTGACCATGTGGACTCACTCTCTGCTCTGACCATGTGGACGTCACTCGCTGCTCTGCCAGTGACGTCACTCTCTGCTCTGACCATGTGGACGTCACTCCTGCTCTGACCATGTGGACGTCACTCTCTGCTCTGACCATGTGGACGTCACTCTCTGCTCTGACCATGTGGACGTCACTCTCTGCTCTGACCATGTGGACGTCACTCTGCTCTGACCATGTGGACGTCACGCTGACCATGTGGACGTCACTCCTGCTCTGACCATGTGGACGTCACTCCTGCTCTGACCATGTGGACGTCACTCTCGCTCTGACCATGTGGACGTCACTCGCTGCTCTGACCATGTGGACGTCACTCGCTGCTCTGACTGACCATGCTGGACGTCACTCGCTGCTCTGACCATGTGGACGTCACTCGCTGCTCTGACCATGTGGACGTCACTGCTGCTCTGACCATGTGAGTCACGCTCTCTGCTCGGGAGTCACCCGCTCTGACCATGTGGCGTCACTCGCTGCTCTGACCATGTGGACGTCACACTCTGCTCTGTCTGACCATGTGGACGTCACTCGCTGCTCTGACCATGTGGGCGTCACTCGCTGCTCTGACCATGTGGACGTCACTCTCTGCTCTGACCATGTGGATGTCACTCGCTGCTCTGACCATGTGGACGTCACTCGCTGCTCTGACCATGTGGACGTCACTCATTGCTCTGACCATGTGGACGTCACTCACTGCTCTGACCATGTGGACGTCACTCGCTGCTCTGACCATGTGGACGTCACTCTCTGCTCTGACCATGTGGACGTCACTCACTGCTCTGACCATGTGGACGTCACTCACTGCTCTGACCATGTGGACGTCACTCGCTGCTCTGACCATGTGGACGTCACTCTCTGCTCTGACCATGTGGACGTCACTCACTGCTCTGACCATGTGGACGTCACTCACTGCTCTGACCATGTGGACGTCACTCGCTGCTCTGACCATGTGGACGTCACTCGCTGCTCTGACCATGTGGACGTCACTCTCTGCTCTGACCATGTGGACGTCACTCTCTGCTCTGACCATGTGGACGTCACTCTCTGCTCTGACCATGTGGACGTCACTCGCTGCTCTGACCATGTGGACGTCACTCACTGCTCTGACCATGTGGACGTCACTCACTGCTCTGACCATGTGGACGTCACTCACTGCTCTGACCATGTGGACGTCACTCTCTGCTCTGACCATGTGGACGTCACTCGCTGCTCTGACCATGTGGACGTCACTCGCTGCTCTGACCATGTGGACGTCACTCTCTGCTCTGACCATGTGGACGTCACTCGCTGCTCTGACCATGTGGACGTCACTCGCTGCTCTGACCATGTGGACGTCACTCTCTGCTCTGACCATGTGGACGTCACTCGCTGCTCTGACCATGTGGACGTCACTCTCTGCTCTGACCATGTGGACGTCACTCGCTGCTCTGACCATGTGGACGTCACTCTCTGCTCTGACCATGTGGACGTCACTCGCTGCTCTGACCATGGGGACGTCACTCGCAGCTCTGACCATGTGGACGTCACTCGCTGCTCTGACCATGTGGACGTCACTCGCTGCTCTGACCATGTGGACGTCACTCGCTGCTCTGACCATGTGGACGTCACTCGCTGCTCTGACCATGTGGACGTCACTCGCTGCTCTGACCATGTGGACGTCACTCGCTGCTCTGACCATGTGGACGTCACTCGCTGCTCTGACCATGTGGACGTCACTCGCAGCTCTGACCATGTGGACGTCACTCGCAGCTCTGACCATGTGGACGTCACTCTCTGCTCTGACCATGTGGACGTCACTCGCTGCTCTGACCATGTGGACGTCACTCGCTGCTCTGACCATGTGGACGTCACTCCCTGCTCTGACCATGTGGACGTCACTCGCTGCTCTGACCATGTGGACGTCACTCGCTGCTCTGACCATGTGGACGTCACTCACTGCTCTGACCATGTGGACGTCACTCGCTGCTCTGACCATGTGGACGTCACTCGCTGCTCTGACCATGTGGACGTCACTCGCTGCTCTGACCATGTGGACGTCACTCGCTGCTCTGACCATGTGAACGAGCCGTCTTTTGCTATACTACACTCTGGTCGTAGTATTGCACTCTGGTCGTAGTATGGCACTCTGGTCGTAGTATGGCACTCTGGTCGTAGTATGGCACTCTGGTCGTAGTATGGCACTCTGGTCGTAGTATGGCACTCTGGTCGTAGTATGGCACTCTGGTCGTAGTATGGCACTCTGGTCGTAGTATGGCACTCTGGTCGTAGTATGGCACTCTGGTCGTAGTATGGCACTCTGGTCGTAGTATGGCACTCTGGTCGTAGTATGGCACTCTGGTCGTAGTATGGCACTCTGGTCGTAGTATGGCACTCTGGTCGTAGTATGCACTCTGGTCGTAGTATGGCACTCTGGTCGTAGTATGGCACTCTGGTCGTAGTATGCACTCTGGTCGTAGTATGGCACTCTGGTCGTAGTATGGCACTCTGGTCGTAGTATGGCACTCTGGTCTGGTCGTGTAGTATGCACTCTGGTCGTAGTATGGCACTCTGGTCGTAGTATGGCACTCTGGTCGTAGTATGGCACTCTGGTCGTAGTATGGCACTCTGGTCGTAGTATGGCACTCTGGTCGTAGTATGGCACTTGGTCTGGCACCTCGTAGTATGGCACTCTGGTCGTAGTATGGCACTCTGGTCGTAGTATGGCACTCTGGTCGTAGTATGGCACTCTGGTCGTAGTATGGCACTCTGGCTAGACTGCACTCTGGTCGTAGTATGGCACTCTGGTCGTAGTATGGCACTCTGGTCGTAGTATTGCACTCTGGTCGTAGTATGGCACTCTGGTCGTAGTATGGCACTCTGGTCGTAGTATGGCACTCTGGTCGTAGTATTGCACTCTGGTCGTAGTATGGCACTCTGGTCGTAGTATGGCACTCTGGTCGTAGTATTGCACTCTGGTCGTAGTATGGCACTCTGGTCGTAGTATGGCACTCTGGTCGTAGTATGGCACTCTGGTCGTAGTATTGCACTCTGGTCGTAGTATGGCACTCTGGTCGTAGTATGGCACTCTGTTCGTAGTATGGCACTCTGGTCGTAGTATGGCACTCTGGTCGTAGTATGGCACTCTGGTCGTAGTATTGCACTCTGGTCGTAGTATGGCACTCTGGTCGTAGTATGGCACTCTGGTCGTAGTATTGCACTCTGGTCGTAGTATGGCACTCTGGTCGTAGTATGGCACTCTGGTCGTAGTATGGCACTCTGGTCGTAGTATTGCACTCTGGTCGTAGTATGGCACTCTGGTCGTAGTATGGCACTCTGGTCGTAGTATGGCACTCTGGTCGTAGTATGGCACTCTGGTCGTAGTATGGCACTCTGGTCGTAGTATGGCACTCTGGTCGTAGTATGGCACTCTGGTCGTAGTATGGCACTCTGGTCGTAGTATGGCACTCTGGTCGTAGACTGCACTCTGGTCGTAGTATGGCACTCTGGTCGTAGTATGGCACTCTGGTCGTAGTATTGCACTCTGGTCGTAGTATGGCACTCTGGTCGTAGTATGGCACTCTGGTCGTAGTATGGCACTCTGGTCGTAGTATTGCACTCTGGTCGTAGTATGGCACTCTGGTCGTAGTATGGCACTCTGGTCGTAGTATTGCACTCTGGTCGTAGTATGGCACTCTGGTCGTAGTATGGCACTCTGGTCGTAGTATGGCACTCTGGTCGTAGTATTGCACTCTGGTCGTAGTATGGCACTCTGGTCGTAGTATGGCACTCTGTTCGTAGTATGGCACTCTGGTCGTAGTATGGCACTCTGGTCGTAGTATTGCACTCTGGTCGTAGTATGGCACTCTGGTCGTAGTATGGCACTCTGGTCGTAGTATTGCACTCTGGTCGTAAAAGTGCAATTCAAGAAGTCGTTTTCATGCACGCCACGCTCACTTAAACTACAAATCCTGTCCTGTTAAATTATGCATTACACTTCAAAGCTATCACAGACAGATCATGTTTCTCTGATGTGAGGATCTCTCCCTGTGCACAGGACTGCAGCAGGAAGATATGGAAGAAGTAGAAGTAGTAGTAGTAGTAGTAGTAGTAGTAGTAGAAGTAGTATTAATAGTAGCAGAAGTAGTAGTAGTAGTAGTAATATTAAATAGTACTAATAGTAGTAATTAACATTAATCTTAAGATCAAACGTGGAAACTGCTTTGTTCGATTGTGAAACAAATATTTACAGAATACTTTTCAAATATTTTGGCACAAGACCAAAGACACCTGTGAAATGTGAAGTATTTAAGTATTGAAGTATTGAAGTACCAGAGGGCTCCTCCCACAGACTCAGATGCAACACTTTAATCTGCATTTTTTAAAGATTTATGAAGTATCTTTAGTTTGTCTGAAGTGACATATGAATATGGTAGATTTAGCACCAGACTAACTTACATCTACAGTCTTTAAACAAAAGCAGCTGGTTTGGAAATGCCATGAGACACTTAACACATGCTGCAACGACTACAACTCCCCCCATTCAAACCAATGGAATTCTGAGGAACTTCATTTGGATTAAATCTAATATAAAAAGTTTCCAATTCTGCAGCGTCATCCCCGTCTGTGCAGTGCGAGCATAGACTGTTCACAGACGGACAATGCTAACCCTCCAGCACTATGAAGCCCAAGAGGGAAGTGTTCATGGGCAAAGTTTTTCTCCAATTCACTCTGGCTCCTTTTGACTTGCATCAAAAAGTAAACTCCTTTAACTCGGTCTTAGCAACGGTCTTAGCAACGATCTTAGCAACGGTCTTAGCAACGGTCTTAGCAACGGTCTTAGCAACGGTCTTAGCAACGGTCTTAGCAACGGTCTTAGCAACGGTCTTAGCAACGGTCTTAGCAACGGTCTTAGCAACGGTCTTAGCAACCCTCTTAGCAACGGTCTTAGCAACCCTCTTAGAAACACGTCTGCAAAGCTAACGCAGCGGAAGAAATGCTCATATAAGGAAATTGGCTCCAGCTAGCTTATGTTAAAATCTTATTAAAGCTATGCTAACGTTAGCACTCGGTCAGTCCACTCCAAACGTACGGCCTTTAAGTGGGAGCATGTTCTCTCCTTTTGTCATTTGTTAAATAAACCTTTGCTTAAGGGTTTTAGTTTGTATTATCCTAAATAGTTTCACCTTTTCTGCGAATAAATATTTATTTGCAGAAAAGGTTCTCTGTCTCCTTGACAACCATTTAATATAGAATTGCATCGGCCATGAAAAAAACATGGTTGACCCCTTTATAAAAGCAGGTCTCGTTTCTCTCATCATTTAGAGCAGAGTGACCTCATTATTTAGAATATGTGGTCAAGTAAGATGAGATAAAGTAAGAATATTTTGTTTGTGGAAAGTTAATCATTGAGAAATCTTTACTTTCACAAAAGGTGTTTTTTGCGCTGCTTTTTCACACCGGTTTCTACACTTACTCAACCCGAGAACAGTCGCACCTCCTCGAGCAAACTTCAAACCAGCCCGCCCTGAAATACAGCTCTGTCAT